CCCTTGTCAACCTCTCCTCTAACCAAAACCTCCTCTTCATCGAAATTTAGCTCCACTGTGCAGCCGATTGACGACAGTTGTTTTTCAAAAATTGTGTATGCTTTACAGTTGTCTCTCAGGAAAAACAGCAGGAAAACATCTATCCTGAAAGTCTTCTCAAGACCCTTTATGTTTGAGTTTCTAGAGCTCTGAAAGAGGGAAAGAAAAAAAAATCTGTCAATTTATGATATACGATAGGCTACTTATTGTAAACAGTGGGAGTGTACCACATAGGGTTGGACATTAAGTAATACATAACCCTTATTCAAAACCTCTAATCAACGTAATCTTCGCCATGTCATGTATTTTATTTCTTTTCTCTTTAAATCTGTTAATAATTCATTCATTATGTACTATGTTAGCTATGTCCAGTCTACAGCATACACGAGATCCATCATGGAGTAAACATGAAACACTGAGCCCACTGCTAAATAAAAATTCAGTGTTTGTTGTTTGGACACATCAATCATTCAATCATCATAAACTAGTTCTACAAAAAAAACCCCAAAAAAACCAAACATTGATTTTATGGCAGTTGCCCCAATTCATACAGTCCTTTCTGTTATGTAGGTAAAACCACATTAAATTAATATTTTTGTTTATATGTTTTTCTTTTTGATTGTTATGTCTGACTATGACACTGTGTTATAAAAGAAATATGCTACAGGCCTGTTTCTAAAACAGTCTGGGTATTTGTGTACAATGTAAATGAAAGCAGAATGCAATGATTGGTGAGAAATCTAAAACATGATGTTGAGGTTTTTTTTTTAATCTGTGTGCAAACGAGACGCAGTGTCCATGGATTCCACAAGGAATTTAAAATTTTGTATGACCGAACCACACAGACAAACAATCTCTGGCCACTATATTAGGTACACCTGTTTAAGCTTATTAATACATATGGATAATCAACCAATCACATGCCACTAACCATTTAGACATGGTCAAGAGGATCTTCTGAAGTTCGAACTCAGCATCAGAATGAAAAATAAATTTGAGCTGCTTTGATTTATATATCTACTGGGATTTTCCCACACAACCATCTCTAGGGATAACAGAGAATGGACTGAAAAAGAGAAAATATCCAATTCTCTGTATGAAAACGTCTTCTTGATGTCAGAGTTCAGAGGAGAATGGCCAGACTGCTTCGAGCTGATAGGAAGGAAACAGTAACTCAAATAACATCACAACATTATAATAAAAAATTAACAGCAAAGATTTAAAGCGGCACTGAAGTCTTCCCTGTTACTCTCAAGGTGTACCTAATAAAGTGTCCAGTGAGAGTGTTACCATCTGGCTTTTTATGACCTATGTTTTTAAAAACAGTATGTCACAAAACGGCTGTGTGAGGGAAGGAAAAGGACCCAAACGGAAACTCACAGAGATGAAAAATGTGAACTCAAATACACTGCTTTTTTGCAGGTGTAGAGGTGATACAAATAGAAATAAACTAAACTGCGACAACCTAAGAATATAAACTCATGGGGAGACACAGGGAGAGTCACACAGCTATGAGGGAGGACACTTACCTAAATCCACAGAGGGATGACAAGGAAGTGAGAACACACGAGGAGTACAGCTGATACGAATAACCATAACGAGACAGGGGAAGACTGAACAGAAAAAACACGAGACCTTCACAGTAAAACAGGAAACATGATATGGGAGTGGAGGAGAGGCAGGTGGGAACGAGGGAACACAAGGGAGAGCACAGGCAGACGGCCTGGGGAAACATGATGGAGCACAAGGACTCACACAAAGAAACAAACACAGAGGGAGACACAGGGGGTAAAGACACGAGGGGAATCTAATAATCAAAAAGCAAAGCAGAACAACCAATTATAGAATAAACACAGTGGACGTAAAACACAAATAATAACACCAAGTGACAAAAATACAAGAGAACTCAAAACACTTTGTCAAAAGGACCCAGGACCACGACACAGTATCTTTGATGGTATGGAGGTGGAGTAACATACATGGCATTGGTTACTTGTCTACAAAGGCTTTAATGCAAAATAGTATGTGAAGTATTTGCATCTGTATCTGCATGCTGTGCCATCCACATGATGTATTTTTCAGGGAAGGCTTTCTTATTTAAACAATGCTGAACTAGACTGTCTATATTTACACTCTGTATTAACAGCAAGACTCAGAAGTGAAAGAAACCTGAGAACTGTCAGCCACTGAAAACACTGAGTCACAATGAAATGAAAGCTATAAAAAAGAGGGCCCAGCAAAAGTGGAGCAAACACGTTCTCTATATTTGTCCCTGACGTCAAATTTAATGATCATATATCTTTCAAAAGAGAGATTTTTGGTATTTAAAATGTATTCTTTGCAGTACTTACAATGTCTTTGAAATATTTTTAAATCATCTGTTTTTTGTCAATATTGTCCTCAGCTGTCCAACTTTTCCTGGAGGCTAACTCATTCCTTTTAAACTGATTTGGCCACATTATTCTGGCGCTCAGTTTTTACTGTAACCAAAAGTCATGTTTGAAAGGGCAGTAAACTGTACCAGTGATTGGCTTGTCGATGGCTGGTCAGAGGTCTGTGGTGAACTTGTCCGGCTCACGGTCAGC